AAGCTCATCTGAAATATACTACAGTATTTTATTTTGTATTTAAATTTAAAAAAAAAATAAAAACATTGCATCTGCAAAATCATACCGTGGCCGATTTTATTTTATTGCATTTTGATGTTTAGAAATGTTAAAATTTAACATTTCGTCATTTTATACTAAAGTAAACATTTTATACTAAGTATTTTATCTTATAAAATCAAGCATATAAAAATATTATATAGTATTTTATTATATGTTTATATATAATTTTATCAAATTAAACATTTAGTTGTATTAATAGTATAAAAAAAGCATACTGCATCATTTAGCATAAAATGAATCATTTTCTTCTGAATTATCATACTACAGTATTTTTATTTTTTATTTTATTTTGTTGTTTAACTTTCTCAGAGCATGGCGTGAATTTAGACTTGGTGTAAACAGGCATTTATATGCTTTCAGATGCATTGATTACGCCTTTCCTTTTTTGTCCAGGCAATCTGGTTATTGAAAAAGTGTCACATACTGCTCCTCCCCAAATGATGGTCAATCAGCAGATTTCTCCCAGTCACAACCACCCAGGTAAGCACTCAGGACAGATCAACCTGGCCCAGCTGAGGTTGCAGCACATGCAGCAGGCTGCAATTGCTCAGAAGCACCAGCACCACCACCAACAACAACAACAACAGCAGCAGCAGCAGCAGCAGCAACAACAACAACAACATCAGCAACAAATTCAGCAGCAGATGCGCATCGCCTCACAGATGTCCCAGCATCCCAGACAAGGAGGTCCACCACAGATAACTGGTATACAGCAACCGGTACGTTAGAGATTAGATATTTTCTGCTTTCCGTGCATGTCTGGTTTATTCTGGTCAAGCTGGTAGACCAGTATAGATGTGCTGTTTATTACAGTTTGTTAATTCCTGATTGTATGATTTGTTCATGTAAGGACCAGGTTGTCATTTCTTCCTCTGTCTCTCTCTTTTCAGCCACCAAGGCTCATTAGTATGCAGGCCCTGCAGAGGGGTGGGGTTAATGGCTCCTCCCACATGTACCCACCTCATCACCTGCGCATGGTATCAACGCAGAATCGCATGCCTTCGGCACAGCCCCGACTCAATGGGCAACCGTATCCTATGATGCAGCCTCAGTTACAGAGACAGGTCAGTGCAGAGACTCCAGCGGGTCATATAGCAAAAACCCAAATTTTAAGATGTCACTCTCTTTTCGATCTCTATTAGAACAGAAGAAATGCAGTTGTTTTAAAAATATATATATTTTTATGTTATTTAGGGTTGCGAAAGGTGGAAAATTTCTGGTAAATTTCCAGAACCTTTCAAAAAATTTTGAAAGTTTCCAAAAAATTCTGGAAATTTTCTGCCTCGTTGCAAACCTAATTTTATTATGTCTGAAACATTGTGTCTAAAATCTCATGCTACATTATTTTATTATTTTATTTTTTACTCTTTTAAAAAAAAAATTTTATTAAGCAATTATTGTGATTTAATGAGAGTGAGCATTTCTGTTATTGACACCAACAAAGCATGTGACAGGCTCTTGTAGGTCACATGACATAAAGCCAATAGGTGTGTTCGACTTAGCGCAGCGCTGCGCAGATCGATCAAAATCTGACATGAAGCAGTGCATGGCGGTTAGAAATTTTGTCCAACTTGACAAAAGTACTGCAAGAGCGTTTCGAGAGCAGCTGGCTGACTCAGCCGGCGCCACTTTTTCAGAGCGACTGCTAGGGTTGGGTACCGAAACCCGGTACCAATATGGCACCGGTACTATATAACTGGTATCTGCTAGAACCGAATCAGAACGCAGATTTCGGTGCCATGCCTGAGTGATAGATTGAAATATTTGTCCTCTGGTTCTCCAAAAAAGACGTAAGAAGCATCATCACCGGCACCGCACGTGAAAAATAATTTCCCGACTGAGATAATGCGCATGAACTCAAGTCAGAAAACTTTAATAATACAAATCCAACTAATTTTTGTAGTAACGAGAGTGTCCATGTTGTTTTCACATTCCGACTTAAAAGCACAACTCGGGAAATGAGAGCATTCGAGGAGTGCGTGAATGCAGTAATTACACTTGCTCTGATGGCAGCAGGTAGCCTTCCGTTAACTAAGCTAAACATGCTTAAATTAAAATGCCTAAAGCTAAACCTCCCTTGTATTCACATTTCTAAACCTGTTGTCCAACAAAAGAGAACATTTTATAACCTTATTACTCCGCAACACCAGTCAAATGGTTCCTTTTGTGATCTGATGTGGCTTCTTGTCACAGAATGAGGCAGAAAATATGTTCCATAGGCTACTTTAAAAAGAATACATCGATTAGCAATGGATTATAAATATACTTATTTCTGAAAATACCAGAGATGGCTTGAATAACACAGATAAACTATATTGTCGCAGTCGAGTGTTTATTGTCTTTGTTTTATCATTCAAAACTTTTATATGTTCTGTTTACTCAGTGACAGCTATAAATTATAGTGAGATTTCCTGGAGGGTCATGAGTTCCGCTACTTCTGTGACTGGATATGTGGATTTTCCATGCAATGAAACAGACATCATGTGTTTATAGTGCTAATGGCCAATCCAT